GAACAAAATTGAATCTACAATACCTGAGGATGATTCCCTAAAAATATCACTAAGCATGGCTTTAAAGTACTTGAAAACAAGATTTTAAAAGGTTTCCTTAGATATTCCTATGTAAAACTTTTATCGGCCATTTTGGCCCCACCCTACCCCCGGGGGTCATGATTTGAACAAACTTGAATCTACACTACCTGGGGATGATTCCACATGAGTTTCATCTTTCCTGTCTGTTTGGTTCTTGAGAAAAAGATTTTTCCTATATATTCCTATGTAAAACTTTGATTGGCCATTTTAGCCTCACCCTACCCCCGGGGGTCATGATTTGAACAAAATTGAATCTACACTACCTGAGGATGATTCCGCATGAGTTTCATCTTTCCTAGTCCAGTGGTTCTTGAGAAGAAGATATTTAAAGGTTTTTCCTATATATTCCTATGTTAAACTTTGATCAGCCATTTTGGCCCCACCCTACCCCAGGGGGTCATGATTTGAACAAACTCGACTCTACACTACCTGAAGATGATTCCACATGAGTTTCATCTTTCCTGGTCCAGTGGTTCTTGAGAAGAAGATTTTTAAAGATTTTTCCTATATATTCCTATGTAAAACTTTGATCGGCCATTTTGGCCCCACCCTACCCCTGGGGATCATGACTTGAACAAACTTGAATCTTCACTACCTGAGGATGATTCCACATGAGTTTCATCTTTTCTAGTTCAGTGGTTCTTGAGAAGAAATTTTTTTAAAAATGCCATTAATTTTTTTCTAATTCATAATTATCTCCCCTTGGAAAAGGGCGTGGCCCTTCATTTGAACAAACTTGAATCCCCTTTACCCAAGGATACTTTGTAGCAAGTTTGGTTGAAATTGGCCCAGTGGTTCTTGAGAAGAAGATGAAAATGTGAAAAGTTTACAACAACGACAACGCCAACAACGACGACGACAACGACGCCAACGACAACGACAGACAACGGACAAATTTTGATCAGAAAAGCTCACTTGAGCCTTTGGCTCAGGTGAGCTAAAAATTACAGCCTTCCGTAAAGTGGTGGCGACTCCATATGAGTGAAAAATTCTTGAGAGGGGCGTTATATAACAAACCACTGCTACAGGCTCAATAATCAGTGTAACAAGCTCCACAACAAACGCTACAGGCTTCATAATAACCATTTCAAGTCCTTCAACCAGCACTGTAGCCACCTACATGTATCTTCATGCTTCATGCTACACTGGTTGACATTCGCCCGAAACAGAAAACTCGATAGAAATGTCCAAAGTATAACAGAGCTTTCCTTGTTAATTTATAACTACTCTTTACATAGAAATATCTTGCAGGATCCTAATTCTCAGATATCCAACGTCAGTAATTTAAAGGTGTTTTCATATTGGAGGATATTAAGGCTTTTCATTCAATATATATATCTTCAAAAATCATCAGTTTTTTCAGCACTAAGATCGTAGGCCTCAGGCATTTTTGTTCACACAAGGAAATAATTGAAAAGATACAGGCATTAATTGCCTATAATAAACAATAATAATAGTTTTTTAGATATGCTCTCAGGGTGAAAAGAACAGCAGACTCTTTTTTATTCAGATTGGCACGATTTAAAGGTTTTTTTTCCATCTTAATTAACTGATGGTAATAGTGACTTGAGGTAGGAGTAATATTTCCATTTCTTTGATTAACCGGAGATGTCGGATTCCCCGTATGACAGCTCAATGCAAGGGTTGATGTTTCTTAAATGAAAGCCAAACCTCAATGTCAAGAAAAAAAAATAATAATGATGCACAAAGTAAAATGTCTTTGAAATGAGAAAGCCGTCGAATTTACCGTTAAAAACTAATGATAAAGGTTAGCTGTCAAAAAGAAGTTCAATCTCCAGGATCAAGGTCAAAGGGTCCAAATTAATGGTGGCCTTGGAAAGGCATTGTAACAATACTATTGTTACAATACTCATTTTTGAAAATTGAGAAACATATTACATGTGGATATCATTGCGAGGGATTGACCGCGCCTTGTACGCCCTCTTTCTTTAACGATTTATTTAAAATATTATTTCTACATTTGACAATTTTAAATTCAAATCTATTGAAATAAAATCTAGACTTTAATGTTAAACATGCATGTTGTGTTTCTAGTTTCTTAGAAAGGTAAAACTTATTCAAATGCTCCATAACATTTCGGTCTTCAATGAATGCTATATGGTGAAATCAATTTGAGATAATATGTCATGATAAAGTCTATCTAAAGTCATGGCTTAGACAGATTGAAATCAATATTATCTTCTGAAATGTTTTATTAACCTTTTCTCCTTACGTTTGTTAAAAAAAACTTTTTAAAAATATGCAAATACTCAAATCGAAATGTAAATATCAAAGATTAGCAGGTGAGCCAAGCCAGGGGGTTGTATATATACTAGTATTCTACTGAAAAATGCAGTTTCCTTTTTTAACAAAATCACACAAAATCACCTAACAAGTACAAATAACATAAAATAATAAGTTGTCATCATGTGAACCGTTTGTATGTCGCACAAACTATTCTTTCCTTGAAAGTCAATTAGAAAAAAGCAAGAATATATTAAAAAGAAAGTTTAGCGAGCATAAACATATTTAACACAAATTCAAAGGAATTTTACAGGAGAAACACTAAATGCTTAATTCGCCTAAACATGGGTTCCCTTTTTATCAATTCGTGTAACAGGTTAGAAAAATCAGAACCCGGTCAGCATGAGGTCTTGTTACCTAGTGAAATCGGATCATTCTGACTGCAAAAATCAGCTGGACCTTTTCCTGTTTAAATACATTCTACAACACTTGGTCAAGCCTTTTAATTAAAAATCATTCATTTTTCCTAAAATTATTTCCAACTAGTGTTTCAGAATCGGAGGAAAAATACAATCGATTATCGAATCGAATCGGAGACACAGTTTCGATTCATAATCGGAAATAATCGGACATTTCTCATGTTTCTTTTTTTTACATTATGAAAGGCCTTAATTTTGTATTGTGTTATTAATAAGAACTGCAGTAAAGAACACATAGGCCAATATTTCAGTTTTAATGAATATGGTAATTTTTTTATTAAAGGAAAGGATAACACTGGTTTAAATATCAAAGAAAAATAATTTTAATAGTACATGTTTATATAAAATCATGAAACTGATAACTTGTAGACAATTATATGTTTCATTTTTTTTCTTAATAACATTTAAAATGTTTATAATTAAACTATATTGATCAGTTTAACACGTTGAAAATTTTGATTAAAGGTTTTGATTTTTAAAAGATAATAATTTTCATTAAAATTCCTATATATTAGGAAAAAATTTAAGTAAAAGTTCAACAAGTTGTCTACCTTCATAAAAGTTCACATTTGAATGGGTATGCACAATAAAAATAACACTACTTCTTTTGAATTCCTTATATATGATTAAAAAAATGTAGCATAGTGTTTAACTTCTGACTGGCCTCTTAATATTTAAACTATAAAAAAATAATACATAAAATGTGAGTACATAAAATGTGAGTGGAGAGTAGAAAATATCGTTTCATATGAGAACAGAGGAAATTCAGGTTAAAAGACGATTTTTTTAAGTGGTGCTCTTAATGGTTATATTTAGTCATCAATTCTTTTGCTGCTTATATGAATTATGTCTGATGGAAGGGAATATTATTTAGATTAAGCCATAATTATTATTTTCTAAGCATGTTAACGAATTTTTCGCTGACTCAGTTACCAAAGTTTACAAGCACCGTTTAGTACAGACGACGGTCAGGAATTTGTGTGCACATGGAAGATGCATAAAAAATAATCAAAGTACCATCTTAGTACAAGAGAAAAAAGGTGCAAAACACGAAAAAAATACAATAATTGTTAAGATTTAGCATTATGTTTAAAGTATCAATATATATATATATAGCGACAATCGATTTTGTTGTTAAGCTATCGATTGTCGGCATCGCCAATTAAAAATTTTTCATTTTTTATCGCTGAATCACTATTTCCAACGAAGTAAAAACAGTAGCCATCGCTACTCGCAGAACATAAAACATGGCATTAGATTTAAATATTAAAGACTTGGGTAATTGATAAGGTAAGAGATTCGTAATCATGCTGTCACCGAAAAACTATGTTAAAATGAGTTTTTGCCTCGATATTTTCTGTAAATGATAAACGTACACAGACATTGATTGGTAAATCTTGTACGTCTTTTTAAAGTCATTCATTTCACTTGTTCAAGCTCACGATGATTCTCTGTGTATGCCATGTTTCCGAGTCCTCGAGAGCTGTATAGGAACATAATTGGGTTTGTAATTGGATGAATGAAATGTCTCTTTTTAAAACATTATGTAAAAATCAAAATATCGTTAGCACGTACAGTTGTCCGGTGTTATAGTTCTCAAAAATATTTCTACTAACCTAAAATCAATTTATTTGATGAGATGGCCACAAAAAAATTTTTAATTCAGAAAATTAAGCAATAAATCTTTCTAACTAGTGTTTCATATTATTTAATTAAAAGATTTTCAATATTTAATTTTGATGATTATAAACATGCAGTGTTTTATTTTTGCTGCAGTAAAAATAAGTTCAATGGAGAAACAAAATTGTAAGTAGCACGGCTAATAATTTTCGACTACCTACACATTCTGACAATCTACATTAGAGTACTTGACACATATTTCCGTTTTCACGTGTCTTTGAAAAAAAAATCCCAGATAAATATGTTCCGTCAGCTTTGTGTGTTAAAAATACGATTTTCTATTTTTGCAATAGTGTATGCATGTCCGAGTATTTTTCAATTCTGTAATATTAAACCAAGTCATGCAGTCGCTTTTTATTGCGTGTTTTACACAATTATTTTAAAATTCATTATTACCCACTTGCTTTATATATATATTTAATTTGAAGTCCTATTTTTAAAAAAATGTTTCACATAATGAAAAAGTTATTCTTTTCAAGCACAATTTATTTATACAAAACAGAGGTGAAAAATTACCTTGATGGGGACGCAGATGAGTACAAGCAACAAATCTGCTGAGGCCAGGCTGAGGAGGAACATGTTGGTGATATTCCTCATTCTGGGAAACGCCAAAATGACCACGATGACAAGGGCGTTCCCGGAAATCCCCAACAGTCCGATTATGACGTAGAAAGTCACACAAGGCACAAGTTCATTTACAGGCAACCAGTCTAAATTTTCCTGGTAGTCATAAGTATAGTTATAATCCTCAAAGAAGTCTAATATATCTACATTTTCCACTGCGGAGAAATTCATTTTGCGGAATATGAAAAAAATTGTTTCCGTGTTCCTAAGATATAAATATATCATTCATCAGCGTGTATTTGTTCACTACAAAAAGCTGCAGTGGCAGGGAGACTTTATAGTGTATACTTTGAAATGAAAATCAACCATTCTCAGTTTAGTGTTTTGACTTTCCCTTAAAAAATATGTATACAATCAAAACGGAAAAATTAAATCCGAGCACTTCAATTATTCTTGCTTTCCCATCGAAGTTTTTCCTATCTTAATGCTAGAACACAAATGAATGAAATTCAGGCCCTCTCTGTTCCAAGATATATCCATGTTTATCGACCAGGCTACTTCTCTCTACACTAAATGAACTATAAAAAAGGTCTAACGATTCTCTTTTATATAATATAATAAAACAAAAATATGGAATGTTAAATCTTTTTGAAAATAAGCAAACACCCAAGATTAATCCAATTTCCAGCAGCTTAAGAGAGAAAAAATTTGATTTATAAAGCTCTGAGAGGTCTACAATATTTACACTTCTGAGGCTTTCAGTTGCAGGGTTGCCGATTTTAGATTCCCTTGAAATAGCTTATTTCATATGTTTAGAAACTTTACATACAAAATAGAGGGACTCATTGCTTTGATGCCTTTTAATTTCAAAATTAACATATGTTCGATCATTTCTTTCAGCTGTGCATGCTTGAGACTGAAAAAGCAAACCCACGTGAGAAACATTGCAATGAAAGAATACTTTGAATTGCTGCTACACATAATATTTCATATTTAACAGGACACCTGCTTCTAATTTCTCATTTAAAGTTTTGACACAGATCTGCCACCTACCACTCCATACTTACATCATTTTTCGGAATAAGAGAAGCTTGAATTAATATGTCTAAAAAGGAAATTGCCATATGATGTTCCACATTCTGCACATAGCGTGGACAAGTTAAAAAAATAATCGCCAGGTTCCTGGAAAGGGGAGGCGGGGAAGTTATTTTTTTTTTTTTATAATTGCCTGGTTACCATGTTTACCGTTTTGTTGTATTCTGGTGCATTCCTGGTCATGTTTTTACAAAAAAAGAAATCAACTATACTTTAAAAAGATCAATGGTAAATGTATTGCCTATTAAAATGATATGTTCGAGTAATCTTTTCAAAAGAGGGATCGGACGCATTCACCCCCCCCCCCCCCCACTTTTCCTCCATTCTGACGGCCTCGTGATTTTGAATACCATTTAGTTTAAAGTGGAACCCATGTAGATTCTTACAGAACCAAAGGATGATATAATTAGATTCGTTATAATATTGATCTTTTTTTTTTTGAGTGCGAAATTTGATTTTTGATGTCAAGGAACTAAAAGTCGCGCTGTTATTACCAGTCTATTTTTAAAACTTGTCATAAGTTTTATGACATCGGGAAAGACATTAATTGGGTTCACATTTAATAATTTATAGGAAACCTATAACTATTTCATTTTTGTGATCTTTGATCACAAAATAGCCTGTCCTTGGCTTTTTGTCTAACACTGATAAATAAAATATTGCTTAAAGTTATATTTTCAAACAAAAAACGGATTATTTTTTATGTGCCTTCTTTAAAATTTCACAGAGGAGTTTGACAAAAACATTGAACAAAAATGCAATTTTACAGAGATCACTAGATACTGTAGAAGTACTTTTTTCCACGGGGTCATAATTCCGCGGAATATCAATTTCTGTTTAATCCGCGTGTAGAAAATTACGCGGATTTCCTAGACTGTCACTATATGTCTTACATTTATATTAAGTACACTTGGACAAATTTCCGCGGAAAATTTGTGACCGCGTACATAGCGTAAATTAATACCACGCGGAAAAAAGTACTTTTACAGTATTGAAATGTCTATTCAAAGTGCAGCTTGCTTTGATTTCTACAGCAAACAAGACAAGAGGCCCACGGGCCTTATAGGTCACCTGAGTATCATGTAACAACTTTCCAGCGATTGTATTTGGTTCATGTTTTAATCCAAAAAGCCATGAAATTCACAAATTTTGAAGGAGGCACCATTGCTTATCAAAGGACAGATTTCAAAGTATTAATTCATTTTTAGTCAAAGTACCCCCCTGGTACCCCTGACCCAGCAGCCCTGAAATTATCTATTTTGAAAGAGGCCCCTTTCTTCATTATAAGGCCAGCATTTTTTTATGTTCAGGTTTAGTTATGAACATGAGAATAAATTTTTTTTAAAATATGTGTTACGTAAATGTGTAGACATTGTTCTAAAATTTACTTGATGCCTAAAATTATAATTCCTATCATAAAACAGACAGGGAGAATTGGGGAGTAGGGTGAACATTTTTTCAATTAAGTGTAAAATAATTTTTCTGGCTGATACAAATGATACTACATGCCTGTATATATTTGTGTATTCTTGCCTTTTAATAGTTGATTTTTTTTATTTCTTCAGGTTATTGTTTATTTCTTCCTCAAATGCACTTAACTTCTCCCATAGTTTTATTCATTACATCTGATGCATAAGCAACCCTTTTCTATATATGCTTAGACTGTAAGCTATAAAAGAGTCCTAAACAATGTCGCTGGCAATATGCAATAGCTACCACGGGCAGTTTAAAACCTGGGGGAGGAAAATAATTTACAGACAGATACTTTTGAAACGAATACATAATTATCTCACCAGCATATCATTGTGCAACAAAGTCGTCAGCATTATATTTGTCCTTTGAACGGGTGAAACGTTTTGAATGGCACTCGTATCGAAGAATTTTACAGTAAACCAAGCTATCTAAGCTATCTTCTCATCTTAAAACCGGAAGTGCGAGTTCGTAAATTTGAAATCTCGATCCCGACTCAAATTTGACATCGGAAAGAAAAATTTTTATTACCGTCTTCCTTGGAAGACGGTATTGTATAGTTGAAGTTTTTTACAGTCTTCGGACTATGCACTTCCTCTCTTTTGTGATTGGTAGAAAATGCATGATGAGAAAATTTTCAATTATTTCATTGGTTGAAATGCTGTTCAAGGCAAGGGAGATAAGGTAGCTAAACACAGTTTCGTATAAAATCCAGGGGGTTTTTCCCAGAGAGAAGCATGCTGGGTAGGGATTTTCCTGCTATTTATAGGCCCTAGATGAAAACTGCATCTTTTTTGTTTTCATTCGCATAAAGTAGAGTCTTATCTTAATATTTAAAGAAAAAAATGTGCATTCATTTTTAGAAAAAAAAAATTGTGAGACTTTTTAATAGGGGGAATTTCCAGTTTTCACATGTGCAGAATTGCATGAGTCAATTAGCAGGTAATGTAGCTCTTTCAAGAGGTGGAAAATGTACCCTAAAAGCACACTAAAAGAAAACCTTAGGACTTGTTCTGTGAAATGCATACAACTTATTTTGTCTGATTTTTTCTGTTTTTGTTGAGCAGGGGGGTTAAAAATGCATAGGTGCACTGAAAATGGATGTATAAACAACCCAATATCCCCCATTTTTCAGGTGTCAAATACCCCCTAGTAGTAATTGATGAATGTATTGTAGTTGGATATTTACAAAATTTACAATTTGATCTTTCCATTGATATGCAGAAGTCTATGTAACAATCCTCCATTTTATTTTTTTATAGGGGTCAGTTTTGCTTGTCCCTCACCAAGTAACGTCCTGATAACGTCATACATAAAACTGTGTTTTGCACCCTAACTTTCTGATGATCTAATTTTCGTACGACTTAACAATTTTGCAAGATTTTCAATCTTAAAAAAAAATGACAAAACGAACAACAAAATCAGCAGTAATTAATTCCCATGACTTTTTGTATAGCAAAAAATAAAAAGATCTCTTTAACTTCATTATAAATAAAATTTGATTTTTATTGCTTACAGGCTTTACAATTTGTTATTATTCTTTTCCCTTTCTTGTTTAACAATTAAAATTTCCCGAGGTTTGCCGAAAGCTCTCGGCGAGTCAAAGTTTACGGAGATGACCGAGCGACAACCGTGGTAGGGCTAATGCCAGTAAAAAGCTAATGTAGAAATACAAAATCAAGAAATTCAAAAAGAATTATACAGCCTGATAGGTGTAGATCAGTTTACAGTTTCAGATTGTTGCTAAAGACGGGAAGCTTTTTAAAAAAGCTTTACTTGTATTTTTTTCTGAAAATTCAAAGTTTGACTGCTGGATGTCCAGGAGTAAAGAAGAAGATTTTTAAAGATTGCATTAATTTTAGTGGTTTTGGCCCCACTTTAAAATTTTCACAATTTTTGTTCCCCTTCACAAAAACTTTGTGCAAAAATTGCAAATTGGTTACAGAGAAGAAGCTGAAAATGTTCAAATGTTAACGCAAAGTGCAGCTTGCTTTGATTTCTACAGCAAACAAGAAAAACGTTATCTCGTCATTTTCACATCATTTTGGTTGAAAACTAAAAGCACTGTAAGTCTTTTCCTCTGAACGTTAATAAAACACAGCTTTAAATTAGATCAAATTAGAATTAAATGTCTTTATGTTTAAAAATAAGCTTAAAATTTACTATATTCATTTTTTGTGAATATTTCAATTTCTACTCGTGTATATAGCTGATATAATTGTACAGGTTATATAATTAAGAGGAGAGACCGCCCTTCTATACTTGGCAATAGAATATTTTCAAAAAATAATATAGCTTATACACCCACAATTTTTATACTTCCCGCTTGAAAAGTGAGGTATATAGTGATCGGGATGTCTGTACTTCCGTCTGTTACGCTTTGGGGTACCCACAATCTGATTAAAACTAGAGGTACTGTGAGCATTGAGCTCACAAAATGATACCCCCGCCTCCCATATAAATATAATGGCGGTGTCCATGTTTTGCTATGGGAATCCCAAAATATGTGTCGGATCAAAAAGTAAAATAAGCGGTGCACCCAGAGCAAAACATGAACACGGCCATTCTTTCTATAATATTGAAGGAAAACATTGACACGGCCATTCTTTCTATGACAAGGAAGGGTACCCATCTCATATCCTCCAATACCATTGAAAAAAAAATCAATGATACTTTCACAGATTCTTTATTACATAATACCATTGTGCACCTCCTATTTTACTTCTTGATCTGACACATTTCGGGTCTCCCGCATCAAAACATGGACTTTGCCATTATAAGTACATTGGAGGCGGGGGTATCATTTAGTGAGCTCATTGCTCACAGAACCTTTAGTTTTACAAATCATAATAGAGAATAAAGTAAAAATTGCTTTCTTGCTCGTAAAACGCCTACAACTTTTATGGACTAATCACTTCATTAAAAACATTAAGGAATAAAAAAAAACTCAATTCAGCTA